TTCGACTACACAAACTCATGTCCCCATTAAGGGGACTTGACAGCAACAGCAGCTCAGTAGCTTAGAGCCATCAAAAAGGCCTAATCCTAAAGAAGTGGTAGCAAAAACTGTATTTCTTTAAAGGCAGTGTGAACCGGAAACCATAATGCATTTTCCTTCTATACCATGTAAAACACAGTATCGGGTAGGGTTTCTGAACTAGCTGAGCATTTTCTCTCAATGTTAAGTGAGGGTGGTGGGCAACATGATATTACCGGTTAAAATTATTTCTACCCTGCCTACCTGGTGCACAATGACGTAATACACCGATCAGGCATAACATTATGACCACCTCCTTTTATCAGCTCCACTTACTATATAGGTGCACTTTGTAGTTCTACAGTTACAGACTGTAGTCCATCTGTTTCTCTGCATACTTTGTTAGCTCCCTTTTAACCTGTTCTTCAGTGGTCAGGACCCCCATGGATCCTCACAGAGCAGGTACTATTTGGGTGGTGGATCATTCTCAGCACTGCAGTGACACTGACGTGGTGGTGGTGGTGTGTTAGTGTGTGTTGTGCTGGTACGAGTGGATCAGACACAGCAGTGCTGCTGGAGTTTTTAAACACTATGTCCACTCACTGTCCACTCTATTAGACACTCCTACCTTGTCAGTCCACCTTGTAGATGTAAAGTCAGAGACGATAGCTCATCTGCTGCTGCACAGTTTGTGTTGGTCATCCTCTAGTCCTTCATCAGTGGTCACAGGACGCTGCCCACAGGACACTGCCGGCTGGACATTTTTGGTTGGTGGACTATTCTTCGTCCAGCAGTGACACTGAGGTGTTTGAAAACTCCAGCAGTGCTGCTGTATCTGATCCACTCATACCAGCGCTACACACACTGATCGGTGTATGAAATCAGAAGATGTTTTAGAGGTGAAAAAGGTAAAAAGTCATTTGATTTTGATGGCAAATTAGAAAAATCTGTTTGATATGATGAATTATGCTTAATATGACATAAAATAACAAGATAAACACGTCACATTTTAATTGCGGGTTGACTATGCCAGGCTACGCCATGAGTACTTTCACACTGCTAGGTCATAGTCATATGTGAATGGCCAATAAAGACAGTACCAGAAAGTTAACTGGTCATCCAAATGTAAAAGCAACATACCCATTTATGACATGATGACATGAAACCGAATGTTCCATGTTTCGCAATGGAGCAGCGAAAGAAAATTAAGCCTCTATCAATGGCAGCGGCAGCATAGCATCTACAACAAAAGGCAAACCAATCTATAAGAAAATTAAAAATTAAAAAGACTCCAGTGACCCTATAAAATCCATTTTATTTTATTTTGTTCTGTTTATTTTGGATGTTTACTCCATGTGTAAAAAACATCAATAAACAATGGAACAGTTGCATTCTCTTTTTCACTTTATTGAGAGTGCTGAAAAAGCTTTGGCCAAAAATGAAATTTATAAATGAATTAATAAATGTACTCCCAATCACTTCCTTGCTCATGTTTAGCAGGCTATAATTACATTATTTAAGAAGAAGGAAACCAATATGAACCCACACCAGCAGAATCTCAGGAATGAATGCATTTCCAGTCAGTTTTGATTCACTTTCGCTGAGTTTATGAATTAAAATACCCAAAACACACCCTACCTGAGAACACAAATGCAGAGTGTACTGAATTTTGCTGTCGCAGTACAACGACTATTTAGCGATATAAGAAATATTTTCTCAATCAGAAGAACGATACTTCAGATGGACTGAAGAAATGTACCAGTGACTGTGTGTTCTTGTTTTAATCTTACTGGTTAATTCCCAAAGTCAAGCAAACCCACGTGCCTTTACTGACCTACAGGAGCTGGACAACATGCACACTGTGATGTACACAGACTCATGACCAAATTTCTTCAAAGAACAGCATTCGCTAAGCTAAAATAACAAATACAAACATATTATCCTCATGGTATAATGCACAAAATGTTAAACATGTTCAGGTATTTTGTAATAATCTCCCCAAATTTCCAAATTCCACACGTCCATGTTTATATCTGGAATTCATTTTTGTCTCAAATCTGCGATTCCATCTGTGTTCTATGTATAAGAAAAAGAAATTCCACTTTCTTTTTTCCCCAAAAAGTGACTCTAGACTGCTAAAGCTCTTCTTCAAATTATTATTCACTTTCGACAGACTAAAACTGATATTATCAGTATAAACGGCTCACTCTTTACTAATTCAAATACAAACAAGATAATTCACTGTAGTTATTCTTAACCTGTATTGACAAGCACCATCAGCAATGACTGATAGCAACGCTGCCATGTTGTGTGAAAATAAAAGTAATCGTAATGACTAAATGAATAGCAGTGATGGTGTTTGCAGTGTTGTATCTGTAGGCTAACAACACAGAATATTAGTTTAGCAGTTAGTATAACATTACTAATGACCCCAGCTAGGGGTGGGTGATATAACAAAAACATCACTGTACTTCAATATCCGTTCATAATACATCATGCATCATGATATTGAGTCTTCTGAGATTTAATAAGTCGGAACAGACATAATAGAACCTGTTGTGCCACATATAAAAAATACTTTAATAATAATAAAACACCTACACCTACAGTGACTTTATTCAATGTTTTACAAATTGCACTGCACTTGATCCAATTAAACAGGTCTAATTACACACACTTTGTAATGAAATGTAGTTAGTCAGTGTTCTTTAAGTTTTGGCGATATCCACGATATGCTCAGAAAAGCATACCATGATACAACTTGGCACAATAAGGATAAAAGATTATCATACTGCCCACCCCAACCCCAACAGTGCAGCAATAATACATTACCATGTATAGGAGATAATAACACGTAGGCCTAATATAGACATGCTCAACTGTGGAAGACAGAAAAAAATCTGCATAATTCAATCAATGAGATGTAAACAAAGTAATTCAGAGTGGACTGACATGAAAATGATGATTGTAGAAAAACCTAGAGAGAAACATTTCTTTACAGCGGTGGTGACAGGAACCACAACGTCTACACAATATAGCCATTTTATTTACAATCCAAAATGACCAGTGAACCTACGCGTACCTTGTGAGTTATACATGTAATGTTGATGATGGTAAATGGAATCTTTGGCTTACAATGCCCTGCATGTACCTTTAAGCCAAGAACAGACTTTAAAAAATACATTTTAGGCCAAAACTATCTTAAACAATGTCTGAGGCCTCAGGCAGCATATTCATAACCATAATAATAACCCTCTGTGAGGGAGGTTTTAGTGGTCTTAAACTCTTCTGACGTCTGGTTCCCATCTCCACCACTGTGCACAATTCTGACTCTGTAAGTTTCTCTAGAAGGGAGCATTTCACACTCCGAATGACAGAAAAAAAAATCAGTGAAACTCCCCTTTAACTGTCAGTCTTAAATGAACAACGTAAATACTTTACAACGTAACAACGTAAAACCATTACTTTTCTCAGCTATGAGACAACCAAAAAATGTAATACCAAAAACACCACTGTTCATGCAGCTTTAAAGAGAAAAATGTAGAAAGATTCATATTTTCAGATCCATAATAAGCAACAGTTTAATTCTTGACTGATCTGGCCAAGCTGAATGAAGCGGGGGTGTTGTAAATGTTTATCTGCTGTACTTTTCATGCTGAAATGGTTCTTCAGATTGACAGAGAATGAGTTGTATATGGTTCTATATAGAACCTTTCTGAAAATGGGTCTATAATAGCACCAAAAAGGGTTCTTCTACCGTTGCAAGCTTGACATAGTAACAACATAAGAATCTCTTCTTGTGCTACATAGAACCATTTCATCAATCTGAAGAACCACTTCACCATGCAAAGCTTCTATGTAGAACTCAGATCCATTGCCTTTACTGAAGAAGCCCAGAAGGACCGTCATTTTTAAGGGGGTACACTAAACCAAACCCCTCTGCCTGGGGTCGACTTGTGTCACTGCTGCAAAAACCAGCTTTAACACTATGATTGTGATGTTTTTTATTAGTCAATAAGTTATAAGAGCTAAATCAGCAAGCATCTCCATTCTGAGCACCAAGAGCTAAATGACTTTGAAACTACTCTGAAAGTGCCTACACAACATGCTAGCTAGCCTCGTATAAACACTGAGCTTTAGCTAACAACTGCTTGCTAGCTAAACTATCGACAAGTTTAGAAGAAAAACTTAATCTAGCTAACTTATTAAAGTTGACAAATTACTTCACTCTTTGTTAACTTAACGACTTGACTCTTTTCCGAAACAATGTCTCTCGTTTTAACCACATGTAACGTTAGAAAACCTCTGGTAAACAGCTTGTTGTTTTAATCTCCCCGTTCCACCTTAAATGGTGCAGCAGTTCCATTCTGGAGCATCAGGCGCTAGAACGCAACTACGGCACCGTTTAAGGTGGACCGGGGAGATTGGAATAAGAAGCTGGCGCAGGCCTCAAAAAACAAACAATAATCACAGAATATTTCCTACAAAACGAGTGATTGTGTTATTGGTGTTTTGACGAACGTTTTAACAGTCGAAGTATGTATTCGGTGTGTAGATACCGAGCAATTTAAACATACATTAGTATCAGTTCGCTCAGGCCTCGAGCTAAAGTGTGTATCAAAGCAGAGAGCAGCCGGTGAATTCAGCTAACCGGCTACTCAGCTAAGCTAAGCTAAATCCACACTAGTAGAGACAATTAAACATACAGAGGTATATAATTACACTATTAGCTAATTCTGTGATTGACCCAAAGGCGGATACTGTCCAGTTTTGTCCGCTGGAGAGTGTGTATTATCAACCAGGCCTTGGCCGGCTGGCTGTCTAGCTAGCTCGTTAGCTTGACTGCATTTCACAGCAGAGTGCTAACGCGTTAGCTTAGCATTAGCACGTTCTAGCAGCAGTGGCTCTTTCAGTACAGACGGTTCTCCACACCGCCGTCGAGGAGACGTTTAATCAAACGAAAACCGAGGACGTGTTCTTACCGGTTCTGTTAAATCTGTGTGTATTCTTCTGTCTCCTTTGTGGACCCACAGCAGACCGCGTTCATTGGTGTAGCTGGAGCGGGTAACCTGGGGGCGGAGGCGGAGAGAGCTCAGCCCGGAGAGAGGCGCTCACTCAGCGGGAACCCAACGAGCGGAGGGCCGGGCCGGGTACAGCACTGAACCGCTCAGAGCTCATCACCGTGGGTCACCTGGAGGAGGATCGGAGGGTTAAAGGGGAACTTCACCGATGTTTCAAAAAGTTACACATAATTAAACGGATGAGATGTAAACAGAGTCATTCGCAGTTATTTGGTGTGAAATGCTCCGTTCTAGAGAAACTTGCCAAGTCAGAATTGTTCACAGTGGTGGTGATAGGAACCAGACGGCTGAAGAGTTTAATGCCTCTGAGATCTGCCTAACAGACAGTTATTGCATGAGATGGTTATGAATACACTGCCTGATGTCTGACACATTGTTTTATCATAGTTTTTTAATAAAGTTTTGGCTTAAGAATCATTCTATGGAAACGTCCATTTTTTGTGTGTCTAAAATTTATAGAAATATTACACTTGAAAAACTCTGTAGGGTTACAATGTATTTATATATTAAAATAAAACAATATGTTATTTGAATAATTACACCTTGTTGAGTCATCAATTTGGCAATTTTTTTAATCAATTATATTAAATTCCAAGCACCACAGGCGTCCTCGTCCCCACAGTCATGTGTAGAGGGTCAGTGCTGTATTTTGAGGTTGGAAACATGTTTTTCTACCATTTAAACTCCAAAAAGGTATACAACTATCAAATATATGATGTAAATGACTTTTTAAAAGTGCCAAATAAATATTATAAAATATATAATAAAAGTAGCGTTCCCATGGAGTTGTGTCACTGGTGTTACCACCTATCAAAAATCATTTATTTTGAAATAAACATCACATTGATGACATCACTTCATTTCCTTTTACCTATTTCCTGAAGATCAATAAAGAAATGGTCCAAAAAAGTCTCGTTTCAGTCATCAGAAATTTTCTTATTCATCTCATGAATTAATATGAAGCTTTTAGTTGAATTCACTGATGTGACCTACTTTATTTTTTTAATTTTATTATTTACTTTTTATGTGTAACGTTGATGGTGGTAAAATAATCATAAATTTGAAAAAATATTTTGCCTCACGATGCCCTGCATGTATCTCTCGGCCATGAATAGTTTAAAATGCGTTTTAAGGGTCATTCTACAGGAATGAGAAATGTCCACTGTTGGAATTGCAAGATGTCTTGAAATGTGTTTCTTTTTCCAACATTCAAACTTAGACTACATCATTATGTAAGTCACTGGCTGTATGAATACACATAAGTGACAGTGAGTTTTTTACCTTTTTTGTGCATTTATTTAAAGATCACAGGTACCGTGTTTTTGTCACTGGTGTTATACTCCTTACTGTCAATTTTAAAGGCTTTTATGAAACATTATTTCTTAATCTTTTCAGCACATGTAGTCAGAGTTACAGAAGAACACACACACATATGAAGTCAAACATCAGATAAACTCATTTAAAGTCAATCTGTCAAAATTGCCCTTTTTTCTTTGTTAGTTCATGTTCCTGGTCATATAAAGCATGATTCCTCATATCATTTGAAAGACACAGTTCTTGTTTTCTGTAATCTGCTATCAAAACGTAATGACTTTTGTTCTTCTTTAAAAATGTCTTATACATTTTGTCTCCATCACCCTGCAGGAGTGGGTGAGGAATAATAATATTAACCAATAATATTGTCCCCCCCCTCCTATCACATAATTGAGAGAGCACACAAGGTAACGGTTTATTTGAAGGACATTGTTTTACAATAGTTTTGTGAAGATTTTGGCCTAAAATATATTTTTGAAATCCATTTATGATGGAGGGCAACATACATGGCATTGGGACGCAAAACAATCCCCAAATTAACTTTATTTTTTACAGATTATCATATAATTTTGGAGTATTTTAACATTTCATCAACAATACATATAAAAACGTGTAGGTTCAGTGGTAGTTTTGGATAGTAAATAAAATGGCTATATTTGTGTTGTAGACATGGTGACCCCTGGTTCCTATCAGCACCACTGTAAAGAAATCTGAGTCAGTAAGTTTCTCCACAAAGTTCACTTTATTTGAAGGCTACTTTCATAGGTATTTTATTACACATGCATAGCATATTTGGGTCACTCTCCATTTGGAGTGGGAATTCAGGTGGATACATTCTTAAAAAATCTGTTTCTTTCACCCAAAACTAAATTATCTTAATATGTCCATCAACATCTCCTATTATCATATATGCAAAAAGGAGAGCTTAATAACAAACATATTTTACAGTCACTGGTGTTGTATGAATATGGTGTAACACCAGTGACTGTGACTCCAGTGACATTCTGGTTAAAACTGAGGATTTTGTAAATTGGCTGACTCATTGGCCGTCAGGTGACCTTGTGCAACTATATAACCCAGCCATTAAAGCACGTAACACCAGTTACACATAGAAGTTATGAGCTGCCTGATACAAAAAAACAAAATTATTAATAAATTAATGAAATTTAGTGAGCGAGTGTGGTCTCTCTCATGCCTTGAGATGCTTCCTCTCTGATGAGCCTCGACCCAAAGAAGCAGTTTATTAGAGCTGAAAATACTGTGTTAAAAAGTGACATGAGTCCTGAAAACACCAGTGACCAAAATTTTTGAGACAAATGAATTTTTTAAATAAAATACATATTTTTTAAATGTAGTGTAACATTAATGATATAAAAAGTAAACATGAATCTGTTTTATACAAATTCCCAAATTATACCTCTTAAAAATATTGTTTTATATTAAAATTGTTTCTCAAATGTTGAAACTTGGTTTTGTGATGAGCTGTTTCACAGATGCAGAGCGACTATGAAACATGAAAAATAGAAAAATCAGAGAAATCATAAGGGAAATGTGTTATCTTGTGTAATCTTATTTAATGTACACACCAACTTTTAGAGCTGTATCTAATATTTTAAGCATCTTTTTAAGCCCTGCTACCTGTGTGACATGGTTTCCCACTCCAAATGGAGAATGACCCATTTATATAGCAGTACTTGAGTATTTATGAACACCTTTTACCAGTAATCGCACAATGACATGAGATATTTTATGAAATAAATGACATTGTATTGCCATAAACTAAAGTGACAGACCTTTGTTCCAGTTATAACAGGAAGCATAATTTCCACTTTAATTTAAGGCCCCTTATATTAACACAATGCCATTTTGCGATTACTGGCATAAGCTGTTCATAAATACTCAGGTTCTGCTCCCTGAATACATTATTCAGTGGTTAAGCTCGTCCCTACGTAGGCAGCCTTTAAATAAAGTGTTACTGAACTAATTTGTATGAGTGTCTCAGTGTGATACATTATGAATGCAGGCCCTAATCTGCACCTGTGGACTGATTTTAGCATTTTATTTTAAGGGCCATTAAGTGAAAAACATGAGCTTCAATGAAGATCGGATTCGGGGAACTACAGCCAACATGTGTTCAGTAAAGAATGACGTTTATTTCACGTTCTTTTACCTAAATACGTCCTATAATGAGACATATTTCAAGATGTGATGTTTATATCCATACTGTATAATTGTGTTTGTATTTATGCTGAGCTTCAGAATGCGTATCTGCCTTTGAGGCTCGCCTGGCAGGCTGTCAGATCTGATTTCCTTCACACGTCTGAAACGTATCTGATCTTTTCCTTTGTCCAAACAGGGGAAAGAAAAAAATCACACACCACCGAAATGTTTCAATCCTGATCTGAACTGCTACAGAGGCATTTCCACACGTGATCGTATGCATAGAACACGTCTGAGGACACAAATCTGACAACGGCGCTCCGAGCATTACAGTTTGATGTCTAAATATAGTCTGCTTGTATCATGGCTGTGGTATGACATGTATGAATTTGGCTATACGGTTCAATCCAATCCAGTTTTACGTGTGTAGGATGTTGGATGATTTATAACCGACATTTTCCCAAAGCAGCTTTCCAGAAATCCAGGTCCAAACTCCTAATGAGCGTCGTCGAGGGAGACAGTGTCAGGAAGAACTCCCTAAGAGCGTAAGAAAGGAACCAAGACTCGAAAGGAACAACTCCCTAAGAGGGGCATCCATCTCTCTCTGCCCTGGGATAGTGCAGTCAGGATACAAGTAGGACACGTTGACAAGGAAGCTTAAAGGGGAATTTCACCAATTCATCAAAAATTCTGCATAAATAAGTAGTTATGATCTAAATACAGTCGTTCAGAGTGGTTTGGTGTGAGATGCTCCATTTTAGAGAAACTTACCGAGTCAGAATTGTTCACAGTGGTGGTGATAGGAACCAGACGTCCACCTCTTAAAGCCCCCCAAAAGGTATATGCAGATCATTGTGAGGCAAAATGTGTGTTATGATTTTAATTTTCACTATTTTACCATTACACTACATATAAAAACTTGTGTAGGTTTGGATAGTAAATAAAATGGCTAAATTGGTAGACATGGAGACCCCTGGTTCCTATCACCACCACTGTAAAGAAATCTGAGTCTCTACATTGAACCACTTCGAATGAAAAAACACTCCTTTTCAACCTTTGAAAAAAATCAGTGGAATTCCCATTTAAACAGAAGAACTGGGATGTTCTAGAGCAGGGCAGCCCAAAGCGTGGCCCGCATGCCAAATTTGGCCCATGAGGATGTTTCGTTTGGCCTGCCAAACTGCCTCCTCAAGTAATAAGCCAACAAACATATTTTCTATATATAACATATTACCTTCTTATTTTCAGTTAAAAATTGTATTTTTTATGTATTTTAGTAATAAAATAAAGTGTAATGTTATGAAATACATTTAAAAAATTCTATTTGAAACCTACCTGCCTTCTTTTTGTGTATTACTATACAAAACCACCACAAACATTGCAGTATGACCCCCCCCAAGACAAAACGCTTGAGCACTCCTGATCTAGGCCAATGTTAGACATGAGAAAATTCAGCCGCACTTTAATCGATCGTGCTGTCATGAGTTGGCACATGTTATGTCCAGTGATGTAACAGAGTGACATGGTTATGGCATTGCAGTGTCAATGTTATGTAGCAGTAAATGTAGAGTTCAAGTAAAGTGTTACCAGAACCTCCCAGAAAAAGACAGAATGTACT